AGAGAGAGTTAACTCTTCCCTGACTCAACCCAGCACACCCAGGTAACACATTTGATAGCGTAACCTCTGCAAAGCCTCCAAGAGAGCTTTGCCAGGCAAACAAAACTTTGTTTTCTCCTTTTACTAAATCAACCATTGGAAACAAAATCCGAGGTACAGGCACGAATGGGAGCAAAGGTTTCAGTGAAGCCTGGGTAGCCCAGAGGCAGGGCACAGCCGTTCCCATAAAATACCAGCCGGTGCTGTGGCTGATTTTCCACCAAATTTTTCTAATGCTTTAATGAAAACTTAGAAAATAAAATCCCCAAAATACATACAAGATCCCTGAATTCTGGCCTGAGTTGCTGGAGATCATCTCCTTTGGGAGACAGCAGCTTCTTTCCACTTGGGAATCAAAACTTGGGTTGATCATAGTATTTGATGAGTGCTGGCTCTTGCAGAGCATTTTGTGGTACCACCTCTTGCATCCGCTCCAAAGGCACTCGGAAGTGAAAACGAACCAAATACCGGCATTCTTCCCGCCCTAAGCAGAGCCAGTGGCTTCCCTGCGAGCGCAGGACAGGTGTTGGAGATGTGTGCTCCCTGCGATGCTCACAGGCCCCAGCCTTGTCCCTGCATTGGAACCACACACGGAGGGAGATGCCAGGGACAGAGGGATGGCACAGAGCAGTGAGGTGGCTGGCAAAAGGGCTCTGGAGGCCAAGGAGAGGCGGATAGGGTGCCATGACCAGCGCCGCAGGTTAGGAGCAGAGTTAGCTGCTCTGAAACAGGCACCCCATCACTCTACATCAGCTTTACTTAGGTCGAGGAGTGAAGGAGAGTTTGCTGTTGAATTCAGATGGGTGGGAGAAACACAGCATTTCTGCAGTAAAATCCCCTGACCCCTAAACCACAGTTACAGGGTTGAATTTTGATGAACAAGCACTGACAACCCCATCCTGAAATCCTCCACGGAAATACTCTGGCGCAGTATCTACCGCTGAAAGCACGGGTGGCCAGGTGTAAAATGAGAGCTGAATCAACCTTACTCCTCAAAATTAGGGGCAATATCTGCACAGTTCAAAGTACCTCAAAATCCCTGCGTGTGTATTAAGGTTTGCAGGGACAGGTCTGCGCTTCCCCTGGATGTCTCTCATGCGTGGCATTGCCTGCGTGGGTCGTGGTGGCAGGTAACGCAAAAATATGGAGCATCAATTCCGACCACTCCAAATGTCATCAGGACAGAGATGACTGTTGCTAAATATAATGCAAAATACTGATTTTTAGCATGCAGAGTTGTCCCAAAGACTTCAGATCTGGACTTCTCTCTTCCCGGGCCGTGCAGAAGTCACCAAGTGCTCTGTCTGGGCATGATCCTTGGGTCTGGCTGGGGCTGCAGTGCCACCATACGCTGGGCACGGTTCCGCTGGCCATTTCCTCAGCAAGTGTTCCTACCTACGTTGAAGTAATAAATAATTAATCAAGGTGCTAAGGCAATGAATAATTAACAAAGAAGGATTTTCCTGCAAATAAACCCGATTCTGTCCAAAGCAGGATGTGGTTTGCAGCAAGCCTGCAGCCCCACAGGCGCTCGTACAGCCCCCGGGGCCTACAGCTCGGCGCTGGGGAGCAGGGACCGAGCCAGCACCCGTGCCACAGGGCACCCGGAACTGCTCCCCAGCTTGATGCCTCATGCGTGCCCAAAAGCACCACCGTGGCAAGTCCTGGTGTCAGTGTAAAATGAGCAGAAGGGTGGGTGCAGAAGAGTCTTACAGCCTTGGCAAGTGCCAGGGGTTCAAACCTCAGAGTGGGTCTGGGAAGATTTGATGGGGGACAGCCATTCTCCACTCTGCCATAGGCAAGTCCCCAACACCCCACACCTCTGCTGTTCCTCCATCAACGTGAAAAATGTAATAAAAAATACAGGAAAGTGTATTTTGCAAAGCTGTAACACCTGCATAAATGAAGAGGCCGTGACTGCCTGTTTTTTAAATGCCAAGTCTTTGGGTTTCTCACACTCTGGCACAGGGAGAAGTCACCCAGACGTGGAACAGGCTCCTTCGCCTACCATCAACTCCCTGCACCCTCAGTTTGGTAGATGGTTTGGCTTCAGGATCCCTCAAACACTCAGGGAAAATGCCACGCAGGAGAGTAATAGCTAATGCTCCGGAGGTTCTTGGGACTTGTAAGCCACAACTTCAGATCCGTTTTGCTAATTAATGCTTGCTGGTGCTGCAATTCACAAATCCAATAGGAACACTGGTTGGAGAGAAGGAAAGGCACAGCTGCCCTTTGAACCATGTGCTCACGCTCTTATTTGCCCAGTTTACTGCAAGGACATCAAAGGAACTGGAAGAGGATAGAAATGATTAGAATTAAGGAAACTCTTCAGTTTTGACACAGAAAATCATTCTTACTGCATTGCTCACCTGTTAGGGGCAGTGAGAAGATGCTTTCAGAGCCTGCCGGCCCACCCAGCCGCTCAGATGCCTGGCATGAGCCTTATCTGCTCTTCTAGACCAACCTGAAGCCTACAAAGCACCCAGCAGTAAGGGGTCAGCCCTGGCAACATGCTCATCGACGACAAGTTTTCTCTCAGAAGGGCGTGGTTGCCCATTATCCCACAGGAATTAATTTCTGCTGAAGGCAAACCTCTTCAAGTCTGATCTTTTATTTTTGTGCAGACTTCACGTTCACTGCAGAGGAATTTTGCCTCCAGGAGCAGCAGCTCAGACACTTCATAAATGCTTGATAGCTCTGACCCCCTCTTCTGATTTATTGTTTTATTAAAAATAAAAGATTACGGTTCTGATGGCTCAAGTTCACCCAGCTCACCAATGTGGTGTTTTTGTCTCTCATATCAGGCATACCCAACGAGTCACAGCCTTTAATAACACACTTTAATTAATCCTGGAATTGTGAACGTGCTATTATGTTCATTTTTCAAAGAGGGGTCACAGTAGTAAAGAAAAATCTACATTGCTTGTGCAGGGCCACACCAGGAATCTGTGGCGGACCAGGAAATTAATCTCTTAATCATTCAGCCAATTTGAACCAGGGGTGAGAGAAGAGACCTACGACTACCTGAGCTCTCCAGGCTGATGGAACTATTTCCATTATCTGGGACAGCCTTTCCCACCTCCCAAATGAGAGGAACAGCTCCAAAGCCCTCTGTACGGCTGCGGAGATGGCTGCTGAAAAGCACTGTGTAAGGGCTGGACACCCCCACCCACCGCCCACCTTTCCCAGTTTGCCATGTTTCTGCATTTGTCAACATCCCTCCTTTCTCAGTGTCTGTAGGAGACAGACCATGTTTGGATTCAAGGAAGAAGACCCTCTTCCACCTGCTCTCGGAGAGGTTTTGTCTGTAAGCAAGGATAAAACCCTGCCACCCTCCTTTGCCCCTCAGCAGGCCAACGTCTTCCACCATCTACACCCATCATCAGCTGGATTGCTCTGCCAAGATCACCAATACCGTTTCAGATTAATACATCTCCACCTGGCCTTTTGCAGACAGCTGCACAGCTTTCTCCGCGGACAAAAAGCATTTGTCAACTTGGTGTCTGCTTTAAACCAGGAAGGTGAGGCAACTGTGCGGGCAGTTTATTCTCAATTCATTGCAAGAGCCTCCTGGGCTCCAATCCCAGACATTTATCAGCTTCCCTGTGCATCCATTGATGTTCCCACAGAAAAAAAACCCACCACGAGAGTCCTGAAATTTGCCAGCAGGGAGCCAAACACTGAAAACAGGAGGTAGGGAGGAGGAAGAACACAGAAGAAGTAGTTAGTGAGGGATGGAAGTGGGAGAAGAAAGGGTGGAAAAGCAGGGGCTGGAGGAAAGATGGTAGAAGCTGAAACAGCAGAGAGAAACATCTGCAGATAAGCAACAACAAAGACTCCAATGGAAAAATGTGAGAAAGAAGATAAAGCATTTCCAAGTGCCGCAACGTCTATGAGGAAGAAAGGAGCTGAGATGGTAAACGGGTTCCTCACTTCCCTCCTCTGAACAGGATGGAGGAAAAACTAATGAAATACATACCAGGGAGCTGGTTGAGGACAGTGCCACGGGGAGAACAAACACTCTTTTTTGCAAGAAATTAACTTCAGTCCTTCACAATTCATTCCATCCAAGCAGAGGTCTCACGGACTAGCTTTGGGACTCCAGCACTGCACAGACCAGTCAACAGCTATCAGATTGCACGCCAAGCAATATCTCCTCTTTACTGTCCATCCCATACTAAAATAGATTCATAGTTTTACATTTAACAAGGAAAATTACGATGTCTCACCAAGTACTTTTTGTCTAAATAAAAAAAATTTTGCAAGTATTTGCAGTTTGAAAAGCATTTTAATAAAAGTTTGCTAAAACCCCTCTACAAATTATCTTTGTGCAGGTTTTAAAGAATGCCTACATATCAGTCGAGTCATAATAACACATTATACAGCAGAGAACATATTGTCACTTTGATCTGAATTGGTCATTTTGTCAAAAAAAAATCCATAGGAAAAAGAAATCTTTAAAATACTATGTTTCTTGTATTTTGCAGTTAAATATTTTGATCATCACAGTGAAGAGGGGTCTGCTAACACCCTTAGAAAATGTTTTTAAAGACAACTGAGTGAGCTAAAAATTCATAGTAAGTGACCTTCTTGAGCGTTAGATGTTAGTTTTCTTCTGAAAGGGTGGAGTTTTGCCATTTTCTCACAAGGCCTTGACAGAATGTCCTTTACCCTTTCTTGGTAAGCTCTCTCTGTTGCCAGACCCAGTTCATATTCTCGCTGCTTCTCTCCTTTCTCAGCATCACGGGCCTGTTGTCGAGAGGCAATTTGAGCCCTGAGCTGCTCTTGGTATTCTTTTGCTTCCTTTACTTTTCTGGAAATGACATATGGACAGCTTATTTATTGAGTGTGGGTAAAAAAACCCACCAACTATAATTATTATTATTTAATCTGTTCTTTAACCTTTAAAGAACCATTCAAAACTCCCTTTAGGTGTTAGGAATACAACCACTCTCTTGACCCAATGCTACACGCTAACCTTACGTTCTTCAGAGAATTAATTGCATTCTGTTATACCTGATGCAGCAGATTGTAAAATCAGTGCTTAACAGAAAAGGATGAGTGAGGACAACCCCTTGTAGTCAGCACACCCGCCCTGCCCCTCATTGTGGTGATGAGGGGACAGGGACTCAGTGCCAGGTCCCGGTCCTTTCCTGGCAGCTCACTGCTGCAGCAGCATCACAGCCCATCTCCACGTGCCCTTTCGGAAGATAACAAGTTACTGGCAGCAGGGAAGGCAGGGTGCAGGCTCCTGCCACGGCGTTGTGCCGATATTCTAGGAAATGGCTGTCAGAAGAGATCGTTCTTCCTCGAGACTCATCTATTACTGTCACTGCCCTCTGGAGCAGCAAGTCTCCCTGTGTGATCCGGCACTTCTGGAGCAGAAGTCACACAGACCCTCTGAACGCCCACGGCCTAGTCAAGACGTGCACGCTACCACCACGTGCTTGAACCACAAACACTGAATGCCACCTTCGCAAAGAAGTATGTCCAAAATGAAGCCCAGCATGTTTCCTTCGGAAGGGTGAGATTTCTGCCACAGCCAGGAGGTTGGTACCGATAAAGCCATCAGAGAACACAACAGATACCGGCTCTGGAAGGAGCTACTCAATTACCTCCCGCGGACAAGCGTGGAGAAAGGGCAGTACAAAAGGGAAACTGCCAAAGTGAAGTAAGGCCCTTTGCCCCAGGCTCTGCATGACACCCAGAGGAACGTTTCAGCTACTGCGTAGAACTATATTCTCACCCTGAGGAACAGTGAGCTAAGAACGCTGTGAGGTGGGTGATGTGCAGTAGTCTGGTAGTTTGGCGGATGACTATATGATTGTTTAAGGGATGTGTGTGGGTGGACTTCAGCACTAGGCCTGAACACACTAGTTCTCCAAGGTAAGAAACCAACTAACCTTTCATTAACCCTCCTCCCCAAACCTGACACTCGTAATAACAGCTCAGAGTATGAGGGGATGTGTTTAATAAACATGATCAGTGTAAGTCACATGATGGTCCCAAAAGACCAAAGCAAGCGTGTGTAATCAAACACCATTATTTGTATGATGAGATCAGAATTAGTAATTTAAAACCAATTGCAATACAACAGGGCTGCTATTGAGCCGTTTGGCACAGAGCCTCTCTGAACAGAAGAAAGCCCACCCAGTGCTCAGACTTCACTGAAAATGAGAATTAGCCCACTCAATTTTAAAAGATTGATCTGCACTGAAATGAACCGATGGCATAAAAGAAAAATACCTTGCATATTTTTCTTCTTCCATATGCTTGAGTTCTGTGATTGCTTCAGCTACTAACTTCCTCTCTCGAGCGAGTTCTTCCTGCTCCTTTGCATTTCTCTGCACTGAAAAAACCAAAAACACTTTTAGAAGATAACCTAAGCTCGAAGGGACGGTAAGACTGCATTCAGGCCAGGTAGGCTAAATAGGGAGCCTGAGTTTTGCTGCTTCTGAAGAGGCACACAAACAATGGCAAGTGTATTCTCAGCTTATTTGTTTTCCATCCACTCAGAACCGAAAAGATTTCACATTCAGGACTTCGTAATAACAATAATATAATTAACAATAATGACAGGTTGCTCATGCAATCCTTACTTTACTAGGCTTTGCTCTGCTGATAGCAACGGGAAATTAGCGTAAGGAATGCCCGTAGGAGTGAAGTTTCAGAAGCAGATTCAGAGGCAGTAGCACTGTTGTCCACTCAACCATACAGCCTGCCCATGTTGGGCCAGATGGTCTTTCCGAAAGCAGCGTGTTGTCCTCCCTCTGCCTTCAAGGCTGGCATCCAAGTGGTAGGTTTGGTGCTCAGACAGCGAGTTATTACTTACACTTCTCCTCCACCTGCAGTTGTCTTGTATCCAGAACATCTTTCAGTAGCTGTTTTCTAGCCTCCTTTTCCACTCGCATTTGCTCAGACTTCTTGGCCCAAACCTTTGCCATCTCTTCTTCAAGGAGCTTGTCCGCTTCTTTCTCTTGCTGCTTCTCGTCCTCCAGCTGCTGAGCCAGGTGTGCCAGGTACGTCTGTTGCTCCTTGAACAGCTCTTGCTGCAGACACACAGACATTTGCATATCTGAGTAAATGGCTTCGGAACAGCCTTTCAAGACGTGAAGACAGGCGGTGGTTTGCAGACAATGCGGGAGCTGGGGAGCCTAGAATTCCATCCCAAACCCTGTCACGGGAAAGCTGTGCAGAATCTTCTCCCTGGACAGTTGACAGTGCCTGGACAACAGCACTAGAGCAGAACAAACACAGAGTGATCCCTTCCCCCACAGCAGCTCAGTTGCCTACAGCACAGACATTGTACAAACGTTCTGCAGCTGACCAACTTCACCACCACCTGCGTTAGAAGCCTTGGGAACCAATAAATACAAACACCACCACATCTAATTCTGTGCCAAGGTCTAACTGTCGGTGGTTACACAGTACGTTTATACAATTTTCCTAATCTAGATGAGCTTCTAAGCACCTTGAGAAGAGTAATGAATGCAGCTCCCTGCTCTCTCAAAGTTACCTTGGGACCCATTTTCACTCTGAAGTTGGACAATCTACTTGTTCTAAATTTAGGAAGTGACAGACACATCCATGGTTCCATGGCATCTCCAAGATATTTAACGTGAGGTTTTGCATCTATATATCCAGCTATTAAAGATCTTAAACCATTTCTTAGTATTAATGAATTAGAGTAAGTTAAATATTTACTTTTCTCTGCAGATACAAATATTTAACAAATCAGGTCCATGAAACAAAAATATTTTTCTAACCTCTATTACATCCATGCAGTATAAGGATGAAAAGGCTCAAGTGATTTATACACAATGAAATCAGCATGGACAAACAAGATTCCGTGATTTCCTGAAAGCCCCTTTCTTTTGTCTGGCCTGGTAGCTTTGCCAATTGCAAAGATGCTTTCAAGTACTCACTGTGGGTTTAACAGGTAATGGGCTTCTTCAAAGTAGATCACTGGCAAGAGGAGAAACAAGAGACTGTGCAACAAAACAATCACCTTGTTTGGAGAAAAGCGCTTGTGTCTAATCTCATTTGTACTGTGCAGTTCCCTGTGCAGTCTAGATGAGGTATTGCCCCACAACTTCATAATGAACACCTCCAGCCCTTACTTTTCTTTTTGTTTTCTCCTCAGTGTCTTCCTGGGGTTCCTGAAGAGATTTTTCTAAGATCTTCATCTCTAGGGCAAGTTCACCTTGTTTGTCTTCATGAAGACGATGCTTCTTGTCCTGTACTGCGCTGAGCAACATATCCCTGCACTCCTTCTGTTTCTGTAGTTTCTCCATCTGAAGTTGTTCGTTTTCTAGCTTAAGCAGTTGCTGCTGTTCTTCCTAGAATGGTAGAAATAGCCAATTGTAAACTCATTGCATAACTTCAAGCCAAGTGATGGCTAGAATTAGTTTAATTGGAATGTCGAAGAGTAAAGATATTTACAGCCTTTCTTGCTGACATTAAAGACTTAGCATCATTCATTAGACCTGTTAGAGCATGAACACTTTATCACATCATTCATTAGAATTCAGGATTCTTCTCTTTAAGTATCACATGCACTTCAATACCCAAACACTGGAATGCCTCATGTGCTACAAATATTTCAAGCAGATAGACAGAGTCATCTCTTTAGAGAAATTGGTATCATTGCATCATGTACGATCTATATCGAAGTCTTCACACACAGTCATAACCACTAACTGATAACAGAACTATGTGTTCCTCCTGTTTCTGTATTTTCTGCCCATGTCTGTGCTGGATGTTCAGAACACTGCATCTCTAGTGGACACAAGGCTGCACAAAGTAATCGTAGCCTTATATCCTGATGGGCAGTTACTGAATTTCATGGCTTCAAACCATTCTATTCCATGTTGAAAAGAACAGGAAAATGGACAGTAAACGAGTTCGGAGGAAAGAAACAATGAAAAATAGCAATGTGTATTCAAGATCAAACAGGTAGATACATACTCCAGATTATTTAGGCAAAAGAAAAAAAAAAAAATCCCAAAGCAGCATCATTAAAGTAACTTATAATTCCTGAACATCCTACATCCGAGTAAGTTTACAAGCACTCACAGTCGTAAAACAGCGTGCAGCCATCATGAGCTTATCTACAGGTCTCAGAAGCAATGCCTCAGCTGTCTTGGAGGCACACAGCCCTTTGTTAACCTGCTTTTAAATTAAACGTCTCTCTCATAATGTCAATATTTACTGTAACGTGCATCAGCAGGTTTGCCATAAACAACGTGTCTAATCTTCCCCATACAGAAATACAAGTTGCACTCCTAAGGAACATGCTAGTCATGAAGGACCCACTGACTCTCCCAGTTTTTCAGAGCCAAAGACAGCTTAGCTGTGTTCCTCAATGGCCAAATTACTTTCAGAAGCTGGTAAAACAGTCTATATTATCTGAACTACTAAGAAATCAAAAAAACTTTGAGCAGTAAAGAAGGAAAGAAGGTAGAAATAGCAGTCTACTGGGCAAGCTGGCACATGTCCTGGGCTGAATTCTGACGTCAGTGAAGGTGTGTGAGTGTAGCTAAGGATCCATGGTGCTTGCTCTGTGAAAGGTTATACGATGGAGTAACACAAGACTGCAAGTGTACAAAGAGATTGGTACAAAACATCCATCTGCAAACCAGGACCAAAGTGCTACAGCAGAAACTCGACTAGCACTTGTGAGACTCCAGCCAGAAAAACATGATTTCCATCACCTCAAGACACCACAATTCTTTATGGGACAGAAAAGACAGAGGGGAAGGAAGACAGGTAATGTAGGTAACAGCTAATGAAAAAGCTCATGCAAAAATTGCTTCCTCTGTTGTGGAAGATATCCAGCCTGAGATATCTTGATGCACACATATGGCTTCTCATGGCAAAGGTGCAAGTTTTGCTTCCCTAAATAATCTATTTCCATTGCAACAACCAGAAGAAAGCATTATACACAGAGACACTTAGCAGTCCGCAGCGTGTCCATCACCCCAATGAAACCCCTGGTCATTATTGGCTACCAACTCTGTACTGAAAAACTTGTAATGAGGCCATCTGTCACATCCCTCTACTGCTGAAAAAGGATTACATCCCATTTTCAATACAGAAACTCTCCTTTACAGGCCCTTTGAAGAAGGGTTTTTTTCAGAGTCTAAACCACTTCACCAGAAAATTATCTCCTTGACAGAGCCCAGGGCAGCTGCCTTCAGGGGAACCTACACAGTCTTCTAACAGCATTTTTCTGAAAAGCACAGTTAAGTAGAAGTGTTCTTTGCCTGGGAGGTTTGGCAGTCCCTTAAAAGTTGTTAAAAGAAAATACTTTTTCTCTGCATGTTTTTAAGTGAAACATTACAGCCTAGCTAGGACTCCATTGTTTTACAGCCAGGATTTTCAGAGCTTTAGATTTACTGTTGTCCTTACTTTTAAAAAGTAGTGGAGTATATATATCTTGCCAGCATCAGGCTCCAGTGCCTAATGGAGTACCCTGAGCAATTATTCAACTGCTACACGTAAATAGCTGCAAAACAAAGACCAAGTCTGAGCAAAGTAGTCTACCCTAACTCACAAAGTCAACACTGTGAGCCAGCAAGCCTGACTAAAGGCAGGACAACCACAGCAAGCCTAGCTGGGGAGAGACAAGGAGAGAAAATAAAGAGGGGGGGGAAAAAAACCCAAAACTAACAAGAAAATAGTGGCCACAACAGTTGGGCCAAGGTAGCTAAATGCCTCCCGCAATGTGGCACCCAACAGCAGCCAGCACTAATAAGAAAGACAGCCAAGGCACTACTTGGTAACTCGTTAAAAAGAAATTAAGGGTGTAGGTTCTGAAATTCAAGCAGCTGAGGCATAAGGAGCTGGGATTTTTCACGCACACGCGTCTCCTCACGTGCACCATCAGGTTCTGCCACCTCCGCGCAGGGGCTCGGCTGTGCGCGCAGGCAGCTCCAACGTGAGCCTTAGATCAGAGCAGGGAAAAAGCGGGGCGGGAAAGGGCTGAGCGGAGCCGCTTTGGAGCTGCAGGTAGACTCAGTCTCTCACCTTTGGTGCCTACATGAGCTATGTTGCAGGTAGGCCTGTGCCTCAGGTTGATCCTGACCCAAACCTGCTGACTTGACTTGCTGACTTCATCTTGGACTTCACAACTACAGATCTGCACAGTCAGAGGACCTCAGCTACTGTCAGTAGACCTGCTCAGGTCCTTCGGGTACTGTGGGACTCTTGTTGGGGGGGACAGTGTCCTTGCCTGCCCTCCCGTCACCCTTGCCTCCTGGCTTGCCCTCCCTTCTGGGAGCAGCAGTCTTGCTGCTTCCCCCCAGAGCACTTACTGTGATAAGTGAACATACGTATCGTGGTCTGAGATCTGCTGTTGCACATTACACCTGGGACACAAGACCCACTGACTATTCCACAGACAACTGGAAATCAGAAAATTTCCAATACCTGAAAGGGGTTACAAGGAAGCTGGGGGGGAACTTTTTACAAGGGCCTGTAGTGACAGGACAAGGGGCAATGGGTTTAAAATGAAAGAGGGAGATTGAGATGGGACATCAGGAAGAAATTCTTCCCAGAGAGGGTGGGGAGGCACTGGGACAGGTTGCCCAGAGAAGCTGTGGATGCCCCATCCCTGGAAGTGTCCAGGGCCAGGCTGGATGAGGCTTGGAGCAACCTGGTCTGGTGGAAGGTGTCCCTGCTCATGGCAGGGGGGTTGGAACTAGATGGTCTTTAAGGTCCTTTCCAACCCAAACCGTTCTGTGAATCTATGCTTGGCAAAAAGCTTAAAAACATCTCCATTTCCCACAAAGGCTCTGAAAAGCTTTGAATGCCAAAATCCTTTACATGCTAAGATTCAAAAGATGTATTTTCCTCTGTAAACAGGAATGCATTTGCCACAGCTCCGGGAAAGAGGCTTAGCGTAATAGGACAGTCTCAGATACTAATGGAATCAGTGAAGATACAAATAAGGTATGGATTAATCTAAATGTCTAGTAAGCTTATCATTAAGAGGGCCTCATAGAGAACTGTGAATTGAGGATGATACGGAAGTTACCAGCAATCGAGCCTCCTCTTCTTTCAGCCGCTTTGCCTCCTCTCTGTGAGCACTGAGCCCTGCTACCTGGGCACTGAGCACGTTCAGGACTTCCCGATTCCGTTCTGCTGATTTCTGCATCTCCAGCGCCTCTCGCTTTTCCTTGGCCAATATATCCTCTTTCCAAAGCTCTGCAAACATCTGCTCCTCCTTCTTCTGTTCCTTTTTCAATTCCTTCTTCAGAGATAGCTGGGCCAGCCGGTCTTCACACACTTCCTCCTGATGCTTCTTCATCCACTGTACACGAAGCTCCTCACATTGTTCTCTGAAAGGCAGCATAAATGTTAAAAAAAAAAAAGCCACAAAATAATCAGTGAGTCTGGAGTTGTGTGATGGATGGAGGCTCCTAGCGCATAGCTCTTCAGAGGACTCTGGCTCAGGATGCCAAACTCTACACCTGATCTGGCGTTGACTCCTTGTGAGGCTTAAGGAATTACAGAGAGCCTGATTTGATGGAGATTTTGACATTAACAAGTGGAAGAGCAGGTCCTACATTTGCATTTGTAAAATGTGTGTATATATATACACACACATACACAATACATACATGTTATATACACAATGTCTATTTTAAAATGTGTATCTATTTGGAAAATACGTTGTGTAGGGTTTTTCTGTATATGCCTTTTAAACATGTAAAACATGCGTGATACACTCCTTCAAACACGTACGTTGCTCTTTATTCAAATAAAGACTTAGAGTATGTTTACCAGTCACTGGAAAGCTCATTCATATTCAGAAAACACTCAGAGTGGAAATTTAGATTACACCATTGAACAGGAACCACTAGAAATTCATTAATCTTTTTAATGAGGTTTTGTAGGAGAATTCAGAAAAGTTGCAATAAAAGCCCGGAGAAGCTAGGAAGTCAAACAAGCAACACAGCTTTCAGTCTTCATTTACTCACTGCAACTGAATTGCATATAATCAGATATTTATCTTCAGGTGAAGAACACACGGCTATTTAGAGATTTTGCTTTTCTTTTTACAAACAAAGCACTACTGAGATCAATCCTATCAAACAATATTTAATTTGAACAATACACAAGCATTTTCATTCTGTTCTATAGCCAAGATATAGATTTTCATAAAATCAAGTGTTAAGAATCTATAAGGTGTAAGGATGTGTGATAGACACACATGAATGCCTTGAAGTAAAAAGACATCTCACAGTTTCATGCTCCGTGAAACTACCTTCTACAGACTGTTGCAAAGCTATTCAGGAATTCATAGCAGTCATCCTAAGATACTATTGACTAAATCTTGAACCATCACATGACAGCAGTTACGTTAACAATGAGAAATCCTATTACTTTATACAGAGTTTAGCTGAGAAGCCTGCATAGCAAAACTATTAAATATTCACCAAGCAACTATCTCATAATGTTATCAGCCTCCACATCAGGATAGTACCTGGAGTGCTGCGTCCAGCTGTGGAGCCCTCAACATCAGAAGGATATTGACCACTTGGAGCGAGTCCAGAGGAGGCCACGGAGATGCTCCGAGGGCTGGAGCCCCTCTGCTATGACGAAAGGCTGCGAGAACTGGGCTTGTTCCGCCTGGCG